TTTTCGTCTCAAGAATACAGAGATCCTGACTTGAATTTCTTCTGAATCATGGAATTTTCCTATTAAAAAAAAAATTGGAGACCAAACCAGTCATTTTAATAATCATTGAGGTGTTTTCATGTGTCTTGTGATTCAGAGGGATTTTAGTGTGCACTTCCTTCTAACCACAAGTCTTTGTGTAACCATGAAGTCTAAAACATGTTCTTTAAAAGAGAGACCCAGGAGATTGTCAGGAAGTTGCTGGTAAAGGTGAGGTAGGGCAGGGGAGGAGTGACGTATTACAGGAATTGTAATGGCATATAGGAACTAGCAACACTGCAGAGTTCCTCTTGTTTTTCATGTCAATTCTTCCTGACACAAACTAAACCAATCAGACCTCTTCTTTCTAATATCATTAATGCAAAAAAGAGGATGTAACCTCTTTTGCTCCTTATAACGGATCTTTTTTTCAAAGGTTTCTTTCTGATGTGCAGCAAGGGTTCAGTTGCCTTTTATTTTCCTTGGGAATTTTGGCTTTTGAAATGGAAAGTGTTGCTTGGGACAGGTTCCATTAGCATCAGAGGCTTCCTGCTCTAAGAAGTGGCCTCTATTTTATAGCTAATATCACCTTTAAAATGGGTGAATAGAAAAGCCTTATACCAAAGCCTTAGGGGCTAATGTGGTTTTGTACAGAAAGGAGAATGAAATTTCTCTTTGTGCCACCTAAAAAGAACATCTTTTCTTATACTATGGCTAATTTCAGTGGAATGTAGCAACAACAGCAATAGTTTATCTGGGAAGCAACTTTAACAGATCCCAGCTGACAAAGAGCTCTTATTTTTCTCCATTCCAGAGTTCAGCAATGTCGCACTCTTGCAAGCATGCAAGAGAGTGTCAGGGAGTTTGGCAGACTCTGCTGCATTGGAAAGTACCTTTCCTGGAAAGTAAAGCACCTTAAACCACTGAACTTTCTTTGCTCATGCTTCTGACCCTTAGGTCCTGGAGTCAAGACTTGAATTTTTCCAGTTGCAGTCACTTTGATACGAGATTTTTGGTTCAAACTTATCCCAGAATTTTCCACATAAGCCTCAGCTTTTGTTAGGTCCTAGCATTACTTCTGCTCCAGAAAAAGCATATTTAGCATTTATACTTCGTAAATGTTAACATGTGCCATTTATCCTTTCTACTGTGTTGCTTTGGTCATTTGGTGTTTCTTTGTTAGCTGCTAATCAAATACTGTCAAGCATGTCACACTGACTTCTTCAGTGAGAGTTTGCCATTAAAGCTACTTTCATGTGGAAGAATAGGACTTAAAACTTCAACCTGAGTTCAAGCTTCGAGGCATTAACTTACCAAAGAAAAACAGATTTAATGAAGACTCTCGACTTCCCATCATAGAGGGCAAGTGTGATGTGCCTAACATTCAGAGAAAAAATAACTTGAGCTTGTTGGTGAAGGGGGAGTAGGGATAGGAAATCCCAGCTGTTGCCTTCATATCCTGGACATCTTAATTCAACAGGCAGGTTTTTCATAGGATACTGGTGAAAATATTGCAGAATGAAGAAGACAGAGAAGAGAACAGAACAATACTGACAAATTTACTGCAATGTGTGTCAGAGGAGGACAGATGATACGAGCCAATCTGACTCTTCCCTGTGGGTGATACATCTGGTCTTAAGGCAAAAACTGCAACTAGTCTGTGTTTTTCTTTTAAGATGAAAAGGAGAAGGGAGAGGGAGGGAGAAGAAGAAAGGAAGAAAAAAATATTGCAGTCATCCAGCCTGGCAAACAGGCCTTAATTTCTCAGGAAGGCCAAAGGGATCTTCATTACCTTGGTGTTGGTTGTTGAGGCAGATGTGAGAGCAGAACAATATGTCACTTGATTGGGTTTTTTTATTATTCATTATTATTCCTTCTGAAGGAGTAAAACACTGATTAAAGAGGAATCTTTCTGGGCTTACTGCAAACATTGACAGTACATAATTTCCCTGGATAGGAAAAAAGCACTTTTTCATACTTATTGCTAAAACTGTGTCAGTTTCTGGGATGATGATTTAAATGCAACTGCTATGGTTGCAATAGGACTGCAGTTCATGATATACTTTATAGTTGCAAACCCATGTGAGGGCTGGTGGAAAAAGATTTAAGCAGAGAATGGATTTTCTTTAATATTTTCCAAAGAACATCACCAATCACTAGCTGCCGTTTGCTCTTGACTGTGTGCAAATGTTATGTACATGTATAAATTTTATATTTAAAAAGCATTAGTTTTCTTTTTTTTTCCAGATAGAATATTGTTAGCTCCTAACTAGTCAGTGGAATCCCAGTTAGTCTATGACTATTAGAGTATTCTAATGCAAGCTAATTCTAATGTGAGCAAAACGTGCTTATTTTTTGGACATAAACAACAGTATGTAAGCATCAAAGCTAAAACTTGCCTTTAAATAAATGTGTGTCATGGTGCACTTCAGAAATAATTTCTAAGCAGGAAAAATCTGTTAGTGATAAAATTACTGTAGGGACTCTATTTTGGCTGGTGTTGGAAATGTTATTTCCACCTTTGTGCAAGTAATGTGGTAATGACTATAGAATTCTTATCTTCTGAGAAATCTACAACTGCCTGTTTAGTCTGAGCAAAGCATTTAGCCAGTTGTGTATATTCAATGAGGGCCACGAAAAGGACACAATTTCCTGAATATAACCACAGAGTGCAAATATTGTGCCCTAAATAACACACCAGTTACTGTAAATGTGAGTAGAGGGAGTTTTTCTGATTTTGATTTAGTAAGAGCCTATAGCAAAGCCAGCTGTTAACACTTCTTAACTGCTTGTCATTGTGAAGGGGGGAGCATAATTTCTACAGACTTTTGTCTTTTGATTAAAAGAGGGAAACAGTTTTTCAAGCACTTCCCAACAGGTGCAGAACCACAGCATTAGCTGTATTGGGCTCTTTGCTTCTTTTTTTGTGTTTGTACTGAATTTGCTAGTTCTTCTTGGTAAGTTCTTCTTGGAAAAAGCTGATGCCTGCCTTGCAGAAACATCATCAAAGACTAAGGGAATTTATTTCAAGTTAGTTGAGAAGCTCTTCAAGTGTGAGCTTAGCGTGAAGACAAAGAGTGTGCATTCATATGTCTGTGTATAAAACATTTTAGTTATTTGTCACAATCAGGGAAAGAATTAATAAAAATGGATGAAACATTGATAAACAGAACAAACTAGCATCTTGCCAGCCCCATCCTCTTTTGTAAATCAAGACAGCTTCCAATAGTTGCCATTTTTCTGCAAAGGCAACTTGTTCTGTCCTAATACTTAGCTTTTTGAGTGATGGGGGAGACTGTGCAATGAAATAAAAATTAGTTTGCAGTGCTTCAGGCAATATTATTCACCTACGGCTTTTCAGAGTTTTTGCAAGGGCAAAAAAAAATGTGTATGTGAATGGTCTTTCACAAGTAAAAATCAGCATGCTCACGTCAAGTTGCTTGCTTGGTTGCCAGCATGCATATTGAACTGCAGGCCAATGTGCAATTTCACATTGGAGACATTGATGAAAGTTACCAATGTGTTCACACTGGCAGACAATAAACTAGGGAGTCCGGTCTGTGCTGACAGGCAGGCATATTTCCCTATGATTATGTATTTTGAGACAAGCACAGTTCCAGAAAGGAAGTTTTTACTGCAGCACTTGTTCATGGGAATTAAGTAGCTAGTCTTATGTCTATGATCTTTTGTATTAGTGCTAGACATGTTGTTTCCACTTATTCTTTTTCTCCTACTACAGTAAGTACTCTTAAAATGAAATACTTCAAATGGGAAATGATGAGGGAGGGCAGAAAGAAGGAATAAGCTGGTTTGGGTTTGTGAGTTGTATAACATGGGGAATCACGTTTTGAGTGAAGCAAGATAAGTATTTTCTCAACAAAGGCAGATGTATTGGAGCATGTGGAGGCTGACTTTGCTGTAGGGTTTAAGGGTGTGTATTTCTACTTCTGTGGGAATATGTACATGGCTCTGTTTTTAGCATTGTCACCTTCAGTGTCATTTTGGTTTTTCATCCCTTTTTGGGCTGATGAAGCCCACGGCCTAGTGTTTCAAGACGTAGCTTTACTCTGCTCTGGTGAGACCTCACCTGCAATACTGTGTCCAGCTCTGGAGCCCTCAGCACAAGAAGGACATGGAACTGTTGGAGCGGGTCCAGAGGAGGGCTGCTAAAATGATCCGAGGGCTGGAGCACCTCTCTTAAGAGGACAGGCTGTGAGAGAGTTGGGCTTGTTCAGGCTGGAGAAGAGAAGGCTGCAGGGAGACCTGATTGCAGCCTTTCAGTACTTAAAGGGGCCCTATAGGAAAGATGGGGAAAATCTTTTTAGTAGGGCCAGCTGTGACAGGATAAGGGGTAATGGTCTTAAACCGAAGCAGGGTAGGTTTAGGCTGGATATAAGGAAGAAATTCTGTACAATGAGGGTATTGAAACACTGGAAGGGGTTGCCCAGAGAGGTAGTGGAGGCCCCATCCCTGGAAACATTCCAAACCCGGTTGGAGGGGGCTCTGAGCAACCTGATCTAGGTATCAGTGTCCCTGCTCACTGCAGCCCCGGGGGTTGGACTAGATGACCTCTAGAGGTCCCTTCCAACCCAAAACATTCTATGATTCTATGAGTGATCTTAATTATTCTGAACTGTAATTTTTCAGAGCAGACACCTGCAGAAACCGTATTAAATAACCTCTTCATAAAAAGGTGTGGAAAGGTGAAAGGAGATAATGAAACATTGAAAATACCATGTGCTTCGCTTCTTCCATGTAAAATAATCAAAAAAAGGGATTAGAATAAAATCTGCAGTTCTTTTCCTGCTTTTGCATAATCAAGCCTCTTTGTGCTCTTGAAGTCCCTACATGTAGAGGCTGAAATGTGTCCAGCCCTTCAGAAGAAGGGGAGATTAAGAATGTATTTTATTTTAGCACAAAAAGTGATTTGCATTTTCACTCTCTTACTCTTCCGTTTGTCTTTCCTTCTTCCCCATTTACAGCTTCTGCGATCCCAGATAATGGAAGGAGATCCTGTCTAAAGCTTAAGGTCTTTGTGCGACCAGCAAGTAAGTTCTTCAGATTAAGCTTTCGAGGGTGGCTTTGTAGCGCATGCTTTACTGTGTGGTCTAGTAAACAGCATTAAATCCTTTTTTTTACTGTTAAATCTTGTGTATCTGTTCTGTACAGCAACATTTGTGTTATGATTTTCATTGTATTTTCTTATCATTTTTCATAAAGCTTTGTTTTAATTACATGGCAGTTGCTAACTTGTTGTTTCTTAAACTGTTGTACAAATGGAAGACTATACTGGCATTTGGACAAGTGCCACAGGCTTTAAAATATAAATATCTTAATTATATGTAGTAAATAGACAGAAAAAAAGAGAGAAAAAAGGAAAGTGGGGAGTTTAAGGGTGTCTCACTAACATATTTGGCTGTTATCTCTATTTTTGTTATAGACAGCTGTATGAAAACTATAGGTGTTCATGATCGTGTTTTCGATGTTAACGACAAAGTAGAAAATTCATTAGAACCAGCAGGTTAGTATGCTTAGAGAATCTCTTTTAACAAATGCGTGTATCCCTCTGGTGCTTCAGTACCTTTTTTCCTCTTCTCTCTGCATGATTTGCATGGTACAACTGCTCTGCTTTTGCACATTTCTAGCAGTGCTAATATCGCTTATGGTGTATTTCCTGTATCCTTGTTTAATGCAGGGGAGGAAAAATGTTGCTTTATTTGTTTTTTGGGTGACATGGTTTAATAAAAAGTACTGTGTGCCAGTGTATAATTTTCACCAGTATCCTGAAGTCACCGGCACACTGAAGCCAAACACCCAGCATGTTGGCAAAACATTCTATTTGCTAACTGGGCCCAAAGTTTTAGAAATAAAGTCAATGGACACACTTCATTTATTATGTGGTTTCAAAAGACTTTCAGAAAAACAGAACTTCTGTTTGTTTAATGCTGGTGCATGACACAGGCATGCAACTGACAGAGTTAGTGTTTAAGTAAAACATTAGTCCTTCAAAATTATATACATTTGTATGTATATTTGGTTAGGCAAAGTACCATTTTTACATACACATGCGCACACACACACTCTGATGTATATAAATTCCTATCCTGTTTTTACTGAAGCAAAAAAGGTTTTGGGGAGCTTTTCTGTCCCTTTTTGCAAAACACTGCCTTAAGAATAAGAATAATGCTTGCTATGACAAAGGCCTTCATCTGCCCAGGGCAACGTTACATTAACCTCTACCATCAAGCACGCTAATGTGCAAGGTGCATGTGTATTGCTTGTATGGCTCAGGTTTATGACAGACAGAAGCATGTTTAATTCTAGGGGTGTGAGTAATCCCACTAGCTTCAATGGGATGGCTGATGACATTAAAATTATGTGGGTATGTAGGAAAAGAATTTGCAATAGTAATATTATCTGTTTGTTTTATATGTACCTACATGTTGCTCACACATTGCTGTTTTCAAGCCTCAGTAATTAAAATACACAGTTAAATAAACAAATTATACCTGAAAAAAAATTCCACATATACCATGTAGTATATACCCTGAAGAACAGATTACCAAGATCTTTTTTTCTTCCCTCTTAAGCTGTTTGAAACAGACTTCCCATTCAGTGTGAAGCAACATACTATTTCTTTGCTCTTTGTTATTTGCAGCTCCTTTAACTGGAAGTCATTTATACAGAAGTATAAATAAGGCTTTCACAAGTTATCTAGTTTGAATTATTTACCTGTGGATGCACAATAGATTTTGTAATTTTTCTTGAAGACAATTTTCAGAACTCTCCTAAAAATTTTGGTTTTGAGAATCAAAGATGTTCTCTAAGCAAATCCAAATGCAAGGAGAGCACGTTTACATTAGATACATTTGTACATTTATTAACAGCATTCTTCTACAGAAGGCATTAGGATGATCTTTC